AAATGAAAAATGGTATTTAGAAACTCATATTGTTTTTGTTCAAGGAATATATGGTTAATGGATTGACCTTCTTTTAGCGGACACCCTGTATAACGGTCTATTTGTTTTTAATTCGGTTATAGCAGGAGAGCCGCCTGCAAATTTCGATCGTTATATGATAACGAAATGTTATATGCCAAACGCTTTCCAAATAAATATCTTGTTTTGCTTAGGCAGCTGATTATGCTCTCTTCCATTTTCAGGTTACTTTTTTCGAACAATTTTTTGTGCTTACGTATTTTCCTCTCAGAAACACGAATTTGATAATGGAAATGTGAAGAAACCACTATTCATTGAGATATTTCACGAAAAAGTTCTAAATTTCACCTTCTTTTTCCGCCTGCTTTGGATACGCATTAACTGATTTACAGCTACTTAGCTCTTCATATATTGTCATTGGTCACACTGTATATACTCATGATCTACTTTAATGACAGATTTTGAGGAAAATCAACAAGAAATATGATTTTTCGGTGAGTTTTTCATATTTACTGAACAATCATACCAGCTAAAAGGCCATACAAAAAATTTTAAAACAAAAAAAAGTTCTTGAATAACGTTTTACACGAATTATTTCAAATGTTATTCTTCCTTCTTCAATCTCTGTTTCCACTTTGAAGGTTGAACTAAATAGTTGTGTGATATGAATTTTCAGAAAAAAATAAAGTTTTCCCATTTACCTATCTACGGTGAAAGTGAATTCATGCATATTTGACATGTCGTCCTTTATAATTCAATGGCCTACTGCACAATGGCGAATGGCCGTCATCCTTAGCTGGTGTGATTGTTCACCAAATAGTAAATATGGAAAAGTCACAGGAAAATCATCATAATTACCACTTATATAGCACTTAATGGACGCACTATATAAAAAGTACAAGTGTGATATATTTTTGAATGCAGCTTTTCATGGAGATTCCAAAAATTGAATAATATATGGGGTGTTTATTCGAAAACAGTAGTCTTCCGTGGATCCCCCTGTATATTTAATTTACCAGTATGAATATAGCCAATTGAGATCGAAAATCGACTTATTTCAGGGAAATCCTCAGAAATCGATAGAGTTTGGCAAACACACTGAATATTTCTTTCCCGAAAAAATGCCTATTTAAAAGTTGGGAAACCCGGTATTATGATCCTTTATGATTTTCAGTGTAGTTGTAGGATCAAGTCGTACAATTCGACTGGATTGACATTATTGACAATATAAAACCCCAATTTCCTATTGAAGCTTTTCATTACGAAAGAATTATTATCATTTTTCAAGTTTTACTGATTTTATTGAATATTCAACATTGGCACGTGGTCATGCACCATGTGTATTCGTATTGTCCTGAAAATCATCGAAGTTTAGTTTTGACACCCTGTTACGATTGATGGAATGTGGCATAAAAAAAGTGAAGATTGTTTATCGTTTCGAAAAAAACCGGCATGAAGTTGTGAATCATTCGGTTTGCCTGTTTGGTAGGAATTTGTAACCAGTTAAACGTTTACTACGCAGTTGTTTGTGTGTTTGTGTGTAAAAACTGATTCTTCCATTGTTTCCAGAAATTTGGTTTTTCGTACATTGATAAGTGTACCCAATGTGAGGATAGGATGCCGGTGAGTTGATTTCACTGTTTTAGATCAAATTCTATGTTTGTTTTTTTGTTTCAAATTCACGTTTTTAAATCATAATCTTGATGATTTCAATCACAAAAGGAGGTCTCTATATCAATTCTCTAAAAATGCATCGGAGTGCCATAGGGGTTTTTCTCTTTGATTTGTTCTCAAAATTTCTTCTTTTAAATCGAAATTTCGACTTCAATCTGAACATTTTCTCTCAGAATTTCAACTTTCATCTCCAAAATTCGCATATTTATATCGGAATTCCTACTTTTATCCCGATATTTCGACTTTTATCAACATTTCTAAATCATATTTTCCAAATTTTGAATGTGACTGACGTATCTCAAGAACGCGACATCAACTACGAAAATCGTTTTTTTTTTATTTTCATTAATGGCCAATAATAATAGTTGAATTCTAAGGTACAGAAGAGATTTTTCTTGGCGATGCGGGAATTGCCTTCTGTACCGTGGTTTATACCAGGTGTCCCAAAACTTTTAGGCCAGTAATTATCTGGTCATCTATACTCGTGACATACCAAATTGTGGAATTCGTGGAAACAAAAGCTCTCCAAAATGGTGAGATCAAATCACCCTTGTGTTAACAACAATCTACTAGAAACTACCTCTTACTTTTGTTTTTCGGTTCTTCATATACAGGGTGATTCATTGAGAATGGGAAATCTCTGAGTTATAGATAGTAAACACCAAAATATTAAGATTTCACCCAACATGCTTTAGAGGAATGTTGCAGATACAGGGTGTTCAAAGAAATATTGTATTTACGTTTTTTTTAGCTTTGGTTGAACATTTACTTTGGAATTCTGTTTGTTGTGGGCGTTGTTCCTGATTCATCATCAGTGATCACTGTCTATATTTTCTACTCTCAGTTCGCTAACTTCATAATTTGGAATTATTGAAATGTTATATAACGCAAAAACCGTTAGAGCTAGGCATTTTGAAAAACAGTCCAATTTTTATATAAAATTGAACGGGCTTTCAAATTGGCATTTCTCATGTCAAAAAACTTGAAACTACAAAATTTCATGCTGATGCCGTTAAAATTTACAAAGTTACCAAGAAATTTAAACATACAATCTCTCCTAACAACACCCAGTATCTCCCAAACCAGCAGAATTGGTATTTCTCATGTCAAAGAACCTGAAACTACAAAATTTCATGCTGATGCCGTTAAAATTTACAAAGTTACCAAGACATTTAAACATTCAATCTCTCCTAAGAACACCCTGTATCTCCCAAAACAACAGAATTCTTATCAGGCATGTTGGGCTAAATCTTAATATTTCAGTGTTTACTATCTGTAGTTCAGAGATTTCCTATTCTTAATGAATCACCCTGTAGAACTTCTCATTCTCAAATCGACTATACATCACGATTGATATAGCGTTATAGTACTGTGGTTATAGTCAAAATTATAAAGAAGTAACTGATTTTGTAGGCTTGTTACACTGTTACAAACAGTTATTTATTGAAAAATTAGAGCTACACACGGAGTCTGAATACGCAATAAAACCGAAAAAACATGGTGTGTTTGTAAAACCAAAGTTAGGACTGGTTTCTATAGTAGATCGTTTGACATGAGGGTGAATCGAGTTTATTGTCTTGGAGAGCTTTTCTTCCCATCTACAGGGTGAGTCAAAAATGTGTACCAAGCTTTCTGGAGGTGATAGTTCATTGAGAAATAAGGTAAAACTGCATTTAGTTTGCGATGTTTTTTTTTCGAAAATTTTTTTTGGTACTCACGTATTTTTGTCTGAAAAACACGAATTTGATAATGAGAATGTGAACAAACCACTATTTATCGAGATATTTCAAGAAAAAGTTCGAAATCTCGCCTTCTTTTTCCCCTTGTTTGGGATGCATTTACAGCTACTTACTTTTCTTATTTTGTCATTGGACACTTTATATACTCATGATGTACTTCAATGACACATTTTTATATAGAAAATTCAACAGGAAATATGATTTTTATGGCGAGTTTTTCATATTTAATGAACAAGCATACCAGATGACGGCCATTAATCAATATACAGGGTGATCCACGGTGGATGGCCTATTAGGAGTATCTGGAGAACGAAAAGTCAGAACATTCTGAAAATTGGGATGCTTTGATAATTGAACATTCTCTATCTGTCTAAAATATTTTCATCGATACAGTGTTGCCACTTCTATCAAAAACAACTAGCAACTCTGTTATTTAAAATGGAACACCCCGTATTTAATTGCATTTTTAGATTGTTTCTGAAGAGCTGATTTCATCAATGCATCACACTTGGGAGTCTAGCAGGAATGATTACAGAGATATAGGGTGTTCAAAATCGAGATTTTTCAATTTTAGAATTTTTTTGTGTCGAAACTATTCATTATCGAGCATAACGGCTTACATGTCTCTATCTTAACTTTTGATTCAATATCTACTGGAATTTAATTGGAAAAAATACAGGGTGCTTCAAGATTCAGAATTCTGATCGCCCTGTATCTGTCCCAATTGAATGTCAGTAGATAGTGAATCAAAAGTTAAGATAGGGACATGTAAGCTGTTTTGATCTTTAATGAATAGTTTGGACACAAAAAAATCCTAAAATAGAAAAATCTCTATTTTGAACACTCTATATCTCTGTAATGATTCCTGCTAGACCCCAAGTGTGATGCATTGATGAAATCAGCTCTCCAGGAAGAATCTGAAAATGCAATAAAATACAGGGTGCTCCATTTTAAATAACGAAGTTGCTAGTTGATTCTGATAGAAGTGGCAACACTTATCGATGAAAACATTTTAGACGGATAGAGAATGTTCAATTATCAAAGCATCCCAATTTTCAGAATGTTCTGTCTTTTCGTTCTCCAGATACTTCTAATAGGCCATCCACCGTGACCCACCCTGTATATATAACAACAACATATACCCTATACGGTATCCTTCTTGATAAACAGGGTGTTTCATTCCTGCAATCTGTTCTCGAATCTGTTGATATTTGACATCTCGTGTTCTGATTTTTTCGTTCTCCAGATACTTCTGATAAGCCATCCACCGTGACCCACCCTGTAAATATATTCAAACTCTTCAGCCCCAGGTCACTGAGGTACCCCAAAATTTTTAATGCCAACCCCCCCTTATTTTGTTATTTTCAAAATTCCAATAGATGAGATACATCTATTTTAATTTTTATTTTCAAAATGGCAGTAAAGTGGTTAATTTCATTACAAGCTGTAGGCCCCGCACTGCTTAGTCCCACTCAATTATAGATCTTTGGGGAGTTAATATATACAAACTTTCAATAATTCTAACATTTGGGACTTCATAACCACTCTGCGGACAAAATCATACTTCACCTTGTAGTAAGGATGTCCCGATCGGGCTGTTTTCTTCAATTCTAGCCACAGAGGCTACTTTGACGAATTCAGGAGGCTGGTCCTCAACGTCTTCTACTTTCACGAATAGAGCTGCTGTTCCTGTATTCACTCTGCCCTCTTTGGCTCTATCCACAGCCAAAATTTTGAGCTGGTGTATGGTTTGCCTCTCGTAGTCCAACGAGCCTGAAAAAACACCATGGGGTTTCAATGATTTTTTCCCAAAAATGATTATTCAACATACCAGGTGTTTTCGAAATAAGTGCACATATTCAGCACATCAATATGATAGAGTGTAAGGACTATTCCCATGATATCAGATTTTTTCTAATTCTTCCAATTAACGAGAAATTTCATCCCAAAAATTGAACGAAATACGAAAAAAAATCAAGTAGGCCTCTTGAAAACAATTTAAATGATTGAACTCCGCGTGCTTGTGCCTACCGCATGGAAATTTGGACACAGGTGACGTCAGATTTGCTACAGTGTGGAACTTTGGTTGGAAAAAGGGGTCTTTTTTTTTTTTTTCATCTAACCTCAAATTTTGTTTTTGATCCCTAAATATTTTTTATTAGTGCCATTCGATAGTACGACACGTCGAGCTTCATCAGTGTTTGAAATATTTGCACTTATTTCAATGCCACCCTGTTTTATACGGCTGATGACGAACTCTCTTAGAGTCCGAACGTGTAACTGTGCACAGGGTGACTTCGAAATAAATACTTATAATTTGTACGCTGTTTATCAGGAAAATAGATATTTGGGAGATTTCTTGGCTTTTCTTCAAATAAATTGTCATCGGGAAATCGTTGATTCGTCTCTTGAGCTTCCTCGGTGTTTTTCTAAGGTACAAGGTGTCCCACCTAGATGTGTCACCACCCTTCACCCTCGTCATTCTCAACATATTTTGGCCCTTCAAAAACATTTCTGGAATAATTTTCTACGACTTTTTTGATTCTGTGCTCACTTTTTCTTCATATTAACAAAATACAGGGTGGCTGAATGAAAAAAGAGTTTTTTCAAATGAAATGATATAAATTCTATTCGATAATAATATATGAATGCTATACAGGGTGTTTCCTAACTACGGTTCCTTACTGCAGGGGATGATTGTGAGGTCATTTTAAGAAGAAAAGTTCGTATGAACATATGTCCGGAGTTGCTTCGTTTCTGAGACACAGGAAGTTGAAATTAAAGAAAAAAAAACGGTAATTATGAAATATCATGAATATCCTGGAACCGATTCGGTTGAAATTTGGTACTTTTATTTGTCAAATTTCCTGAAATTTCAGCATATCAAGTGTCAATTATATTTTTGGCAGAAATAATGGTAAACTCATTTCTCCAATGCAAGTTTTTTTCTCGAAAATGTAGCTGGATATGAAGAAAATACAGGAAACCAAAAAGTTGTATTTTGAGTTGCTCGATCTGAAAATAAAAATTCATTTGAATTTTTCGAGAAAAATCGAAAAAAAGTAATGGTTAGTAAACTGCGCCCTCTATAAGACGCGGTGTGAACTAGCGACCATAAACAAAGTCAGTTTTGAAATAAGAGTGAAATTATCTTTCAAACGAGCCCAAGTTGATTGAATTTGGATGAAGGGTATGGAAGATACAGCAATTCAAAAAATATTTTGTTCACAAGCTTCCCCCACCATTATTATTCAAGATACGAAAAAAAGTCCATATACCAACCTGACCCAAAATCAATGATCTTTTCATTTCCGTTATCAAAAAAATACCTCACTGAGCGATTTCCTGAGATAATTTGAATTTCTTGTTTTAGCATGGTAACTTCGCCCCCTACCGGTCATTTGAGAAACTTGAAAATATTTTAAATCAATTTCTCTTTGCCAATTTCATCAATAGATTTTTTTTCCCGGAGCTGTAAAGTTAATGGCTTCCGTAATATCGTACCTCGCCGACCTTAGTGGGACACCCTGTATACAGGGTGACATAGAAAAAAGTACATTGCATAGTGCCACATAATAGAGGATACTAAAATAAGAAAAAAAAATCCTATGAACATGGGTCCGCAAGACCTTCGGTTAAAAGATACGGGGTGTTGAATTTGAATTTTTTTGGGGTTTTCTTTGAATATCTTTAGCCAGAGACGCAAGAAATGGATAAAATGTGGTATACAGGGGTATATTTATCATGCTAAATTCAAATATGATCTTAGTTTTGTGATGACTGATAGAGGGCGCTACATACAGGGTTCCATCCCTATTGAATCGGTCGTAACTTTTTTGCTATACACTGTATGTCATTTCCGACGGAAATAATTTGTTATCCCTTCTTTTATTTTTTATTTTTTTATCGCTTGGAGCGCACGAAAGGAAATCCCTATAATGTTCAAAGAACATCGTGCGTTCCTAGGGAGGATAGGGACTGGAGGTAGGTATTGGAATTTTTTTTGAACTTCTGGAGATTATATGTTGTTGGGAATACTTCCTCAGGTATACCTTGTCCAAGTCGCTAGAAGCAATGGTTTCAGTACAAATGCATCGAAAAGCCGTCAATGCACGCAAATTATTCAACAAGCGCCAAAGTAACTTTTGCAGAAGCAATGATAAATACTTCAACAATTACATTTCAATGGTATGATGAAAAATATGATTAATTAGAACAAAACATTAAGTTTTTAGAAGATGTTCGAATTGTTGCCCATGTACTTCAATACATTTTTCTATTAAAATTCAACACCCCGTATCTTTTAACCAAAGGCCTTGCAAGCTCATGTTCATAGGAACTTTTTTCCTTATTTTAGTGTCCTCTATTGTGTGGCACTATGCAATGTACTTTTTTCTATGTCACCCTGTATATTTGAATTTAGATCGATGGGCTTCATCGAACTATGGAAAAGATATGGGTCATTTTATATGAGAATGAATATTTTTTGTGAGCCACCCTGTAATTTGTTCATATAAAGAAAAAGTAAGCACAGTAAATTCGTAGAAAATTATTTCAGATGAGTATTTTAATGACCAAAATATGTTGAGAATTACAACAAATCAGATCTCGATCACCGAAGTAGCATTTCACGCTCTAGATACAAAAATAACTATTTTTCTTCTCTCGGAACACATGAAAGGAAATTCTTTCAAGTAGATATCCCAGCTCTCCAGTCCATCCCCACTCCTCCACTTTTCTCCAAACCACGTGACTCGGCTAGCCAATCAGAGGCCAGCATTCGATTAGAGGCCACGATAAGAATGGAATTAACACAACTACAATAACAAGATGAAGTATGATATACAGGGTGGATCCGAAAAACCTGGTTCAGATAAAAAATTGAAAATATACAGGGTGCCTCATGATTAACATATCACATTTAGTAGATTACAGCCAACGTATGACGTATGACATATGACATTCGATAGATGACAGCTCACATATGATAGATAATACAAGGTGACATTTCAAAAACTTCCCAACCTCAATATTTTCCTTGAAGTGAATGATATGAGAAATCGAAAAAACAGGTCGATTTTATTTTCAAAGGGGACACTTGAAATGATTAGTATTAGCTCTCTTGGTTCAATCCTTCAGGAGGGGTAGATGTTACCCTTAGAATCACAAAGAGGAGAGGTCAAGTGGCACATCATTTTGGAGGGCGTTCAAGTCTCTTTTCAACTATACCCTAGTTTTTCATTTTTTGATGGGCAGTTACCAAAAAATGCCGTTCTAAACTTACAAAAGTAATTAGAACATGGCTGCACTGATATCTCGACTGATATGCATGGTTTTTAGGTTAGTATTATTGTATTGACCCTTTTAGTCCAAATAAACTGGGCGTCAATTGAAACGTTGATAGTGAAATTTGGCATCAAGTTTGACTTCTCGTAATTTCTAAAATATTGAACGAATTTTGAATTACCGCACAGATTCTGAATGCCTTTTTCATCGTCTTTCGAACCGTTCCTTACAGCTTTTATTAAATTGATCAGGACCCATGATACAGGGTGAAACAAAGATTCGTGCATTTTGAAAAAAAAATTCTCCGCCCCCCCATTTTGTCGGAAGACCACGATGCTCATATTTTATTCGGGCATTTCATAAATAGCAACCATACCTCGATAAGTTTTCGAGTTTTTGCCAAAAACTACTGTGGTTTCTGGAAAAAAAAATGTTTTTTGCATTTTTTCAAATGGACTAATTCCAGAGGAATGACGGGGGCCTTACCTTTTAACGTGTGATCCCAAACACTTTCTTGGGCCATCAGAAAAATTTCTGCAGCCGACAGATATGAATACCAGGTTACTCAAAAACAATCAATAATTTATTACTTCGCAGAGTCTATGATAAAAGTTTTCTACCTTAGTGAGCAGTAAATCAACACATCTCATCAACAAAAACAAACAACGATACCTTATTGATATTTTGTTGGGCCTCCCCTGACCCTCAAGACTTCAGCCAATCGCCTCGGCATACTGTCCACTGAATTCTGGATATACAATTGGGAAATAGCCTCCCATTCAAGCAAAATTGCGTTTGTCAATTCATCAAAATTTCGAAATTGGTTCCCTTGCCTATTCAACCGTAGCTTTAACTCACTCCAAATGTGCTCGATTGGATCGTGCAGGCCACTCCATTCCTTCTATATTTTCCGCTCGAAGAAATTCGACGATACATCTAGCCCGATGGAAACGTGCATTGTCATCAACCAACATGAACTCATCCCCATAATTCCTTGCAAGGGGAACAACAACATCTCTCAAACACCTATAACGATATCTTCCAGCATTCATACTCTCGCCAACTAGCACTACCAATTCCGTTCTTCCATTCCTCAATCCCACCCCAAACAGTCACACCAGATCCTCCAAATGCCACTCTCGCCCCCATATGCTCTTCTCTAAACCTTAAATTATTTTCAAAATGCACGAAACTTTGTTTCACACTGTATCATGGGTCCTGATCAATTTAGAAGAAGCTGTAAGGAACGGTTTGAAAGACGATAAAAAAGGCATTCAGAATCTGGACGGCAATTCAAAATTCGTTCAATATTTTAGAAATTACGAGAAGTCAAACTTGATGCCAAATTTCACTATTAACGTTTCAATTGACGCCCAGTTTAGAAGGAAGATTTTGAATGCATTTCAGTGCAGGCATGTTCCAATTACTTCTGTAAGTTTAGAACGGCATTTTTCGGAAACTGCTCATAAAAAAATCATAAACTACTG